CTGTGGGGTCACTGTGTGCCCTGACCACCAGGTGAGGAGCATCCTCTGATGGCGTTTCTGTGGTTCAGAGCAAGGTACTGGAGCTGTAACACATCCAGATGTCCCCAACCCTTCCCTCCTGAATTCCTCCTTGCCTTTCCTGCTCGGCCAAAATCCCTTCCACATAAACCCTGGTGTTCCCACCCTGGCCCTTCCTGAGCAGGGAGAGCAGCCAAACCCGTTGGAATGCCACTGAAGGAAGTGGTCAGGTGACACTGTGTCCACAAGAGTGGGCTGGGGTGTTCTGGCATGCACAGGTGACTGCAGACATCTCTTCCCTGACACTGCCCCTCATCTGATGTTGAGGAAGGTCATGACCTCGTTAGATGATCATGAGAAGATTATGGGCCTTACAGATGAATGGGACTCCCTTGGAGGGGCAAGGATAGCACGTCCTGGATTCCTCCCCTGTTGCCCCCATCTCCTCCCCTCCCCTCTCTCATGCAGCCTCCTGGGCTCCGTGTTCCCCATGCCACGGATCCTGTATGCAATGGCTCGAGATGGGCTCCTCTTCAAACCTCTGGCCAAAGTTAGTCACCATCAGTGCCCGGTGGTGGCAACTCTGGTGTCTGGGGGAGTGGCAGGTGAGTGAGTGCTTGGGCTACCCTTAGCTGTGAGCAGGGCTTGGTGAGTGTCCTCTTTCCCTCTAGCTGGAGTGCAGCTGTTTGAGCAATGTCCCTTCACCCAGAGACAGATCTCATGGTGCATGAGGACCATTTGGCCTCCATGGTGTCCAGTCACTTGTGGACAACCACAGAGGTGGTTCAGCCTCTCTGCACTGCCAGGCAGGAGGTGACAGGATGCTTTGTACTAGTGACCAAGGCATCACCAGTTCATGGAGGTTCTGTTGCAGTGGGTGTCAGGGGGACATGGGAAGGTCAGGAGAGTATGACTGAGGTGGGCACAGCAGCACTGCCAGCTCTGCTTGGAGGCTGAAAGGGTTTCTCTTCCCCACAGCTCTCCTGGCCCTTCTCTTTGACCTGAAAGCCCTGGTTGACACCATGTCCATTGGCACACTGCTGGCCTACTCGATTGTGGCTGGCTGTGTGCTGCTGCTCAGGTGAGACTGCTGGGGACAAGGGACAGGGCATACCCAGCTTCTGATGTGGGCCACACCTGGGACAAGGCTCTGGCCTGGGTGCACTGCAGGTGCAGGTTTATGTGCACTGACATCCAATGTCTGCTCCTCAGGTATCGGCCTGATCCCAGCCCTTGGGACACTCCTACAGGGAAGGTCCCAGCTGTGCAGCTCTGGTGGGACCACTTGGTCCAGCCACCCCCTTATCCCACCCCTCACTCCTCTGCTGTGGTGGTCTGGGCTCTGACAGCTGTAGGTATGTCTGGGAATGATGGATGGGCTCTCCAGGGAGCTGGTGATGGGGGACATCCCTGCTGTAGCAAGGGCTGGCAGGTTCCTGCCCAGTCAAAACCACCCAACAGGGTGCAGGGGCTCCCTGGCTCCTTCCTGCCCTCATCCCACTGCCACACAGCTGGCTCCCCCAATGGGACCTCAGGAAGCCTCCTGCTCCCTCTGCTTCCCAGGCTGGAGAGAAAAGCTAAACCCACCATGAGAAGCCACCCAGCTGTGTCTCCCAGTTGTCATTTGTCCCACCATGGCAGCCTGGAAGAGGGATGGGCCCAGCCCAGGGAAGCTGCTCTGACACTGTGATTCCTCTGCAGCTGCCCTGGCCTGTGCCCTGAGCTGGGTGAGCACTGCTGGGCTGCCCTGCCTGTGGGCTGGGGGTGCCTGGTGCATCACAGCTCTGGCCCTGCCTCTCCTGGGGATCCTGGCAGCAGCTCTTCTCATCTGGAGGCAGCCTCAGAGTCAGGACAAAGCATCCTTCATGGTGAGCACCCAGCCCAACCCTTGGGATGTACTCAGGCAGAAGGACCTGGGGCACAGAGAGCAGGAGTGGTGCAGCCCCGTGGGGAAAGGCTGCCATTTGGGGGTGTTCCTTCAGCTTTAGGTCAGGCATATCTTTCCTGCATCCACATTAATAAGGTACTGCTGGAGGCAGCATGTGGCTCGTGGGGTTTTCCATAGGGACCATGAGGGTTCTTTCCCCCATGACCTGAGGACTGACGGGGCATCTCCCAGCTTAGCCCCATGCCTGCTGGGGAATCAGCTGCTCTTCAGTAAAAAGATATCTGTCCTTAACACTTTAGCTTAGTTTTATGAGTGCTTTGCTGCGTCTCATCTCAAATCCTGCAGTACCTCCTGCCCCAGTGTAGGACCTGTCAACCAAAACACCCTCCACAAGCATCCCTCTCCAGCACAGGCTGCAGTCCCAGCTTGGATATCTCAGTCTCACAGCCAGGCTGGGCCTCCCCTTGTCTGTGGGCAACTAGCCAAAGCAGCAAAGAGCTGAATTTAGCTGTGGAATTTACCCTTGTGCTCCCTGCAGGTTCCCTGGCTGCCCTTCCTGCCTCTCCTCAGCATCTCCATCAACACCGTGCTGATGGCCCGGCTCAGCACAGCCGCCTGGCTGCGGTACCTGCTCTGGATGGCTGTGGGTAAGCACGGCCACTCACGGGGTCCCAGAGCTGGCACCAGCCCCTCTGGGTGGAGCTCTGGTGGTTTGAAAGCCCCTGGCAGTAATGCTGCTCTGAGGGGTGGTGGAAGACAGGAGATGCTGACCTTTGATGTCCAGTGGTGGTGGGAGCACCATGTCCTCTGATATGTGGCCCAAAGGAAGGGGCAAGCACTTGATGGCTGGGAGGGGAAGGAAGAGAAACAGTCCGTACACACCCTATTCTGCCCTTTTCCAGGCTTCCTCATTTACTTTGGCTATGGGATCTGGCACAGCTCTGAGAGCCACTGGCCTGAAGGGACAGGTCCCCAGGAGCTGCCGGGGAGCAGAGCCAGGGAGGTGGCCCTGGAGCCCCATGAGACTGCCCTGTGCCCATCTGCTCCGGGGCAATAAAAGAGATGGCTAGTTCCTGAGTGCCTGGCTCCCTTCATCCTGTGCCCAGAGGGCAAGAAAGCCCCTTGGGCTGTGGGTCCTGTCCCACAGAGGGGGCCAGCCCTGTCAGAGCTGCAGGAGCTGCTTCCCAGAGTCTGGTGAACCTCCCTGAGCAACCCAAATCCTCACAGTGAGCCCCTGCAGAAGGAGTTCTGTTTGGAGAGGATAAAGCATACAAGTGTTTTTGCTGCTGTTACTGGACTGTGGTTTTAGTTTTTTTCCTTTGAAACCTTTCCCTGCAGCCCCCCACAGCCCCCCTTGCTCTTGTCCACCCTGCTCCTTCAGCTGAGGGACGGAGGCTTCTCCTGCTGCCCTGAGCCTCCATTTTGCCTGGGCACCAGCCTGACCTAACTTATCATTCCCCTCATGACTGCCAAGGTACTGCCTGGTCCAGGCTTCTCCCCCTTCACAATGTGCAAGTCTTTTTCTGCACTCATTTATTCCTCCTCCTCAGTTCCCAGTGTCCCCTTTCCCAGAGTTGGGCACATTCTTCCAAGTCCCACGCAGGATCTGCCTTTGGGGCACTGGAAAATGGTACCAGGTGTCCAGAGCAGGATCCCAGACTGCACCAGCCATATATCCCTTTGTCCAGAAATCCTGATCTCTTCAGCCATAACCAGGGAGGATTTGCTGGGGCATCCCCTGCTTTGGTGCTGCAGCACCTGGGGGAGGCACAGATGATGTGTGGAGCAGAGGGTGCCCTGGGGGGATGTGGTTCTGATACAACAGGCTCCCCCATTTCCCCTTCTGGCCACCCCATGGAGGTGTGTGGGTAAGAGCTGGACCCCACATCCACACTGCCTTTCCTGGCTGCCTGTTCAGCTACTCTATTCCTGATACGGGTCAGCACAAAGGACGGAAGTGGCTGTTGCAGTGGCCCTGATGCTGGGAGGGTCCAGGTCTGCCCTGAGCTGGGAGCCCATTGAAATGAAGGAAAGGAGGGAAGGAGCAGGAGAATGAGGATTGGTCTTAAGGGCCTCATCTGGAGCTTCCTTGTTGAGTCTTTGTGGTGTCAGCTCCCACCCTTCCCTTTCTTCCCACTCGATGGGGTGTGGAGCACACAGCCCCACTCTGGGATGCTCTTGCACCAGTCCCCAAAAACACTGGCAAGGGATTCCTGAGGCTGCTGCTTCTTACAGATTTGTAATTGTTACAGCCAGCAGCACATTGGCTGGTGCACACACACACACACACACACACACACCACACTTGTGCACCCAGGGGAAAGTGCTTGTGTGCATCCAGCCCTGACCCACAGCCACGCTGGCAGCATCTTCCCCGATGGGGATGCATTGGCTTGAGCAGAGGGATGTGACCTGATACCCCCTGGGAGGATGCTCTGCTTCCTGAATGTGCAGCTCCAGCCTCTGTCCAGCTTTTGGGGGAGAAGATGGGACTGGTGGTGCTGCTGATGGGCAGCAGGGACAAATAGGGCTTGGGGTCTTCATGGCAGTGAGCTGGGACATGCCTGAGCTGCAGGAGCAGTATCTGGGAGACATTTGCTGAAGATGGAGGAGGTGATGGGAATAGGAGGGCATGGGCGGGAGCTCTGCCTGGTGAGGTTAACACCATGTCCCCAGGACCCTCCTCATCCTCTCCAGTGCTTGTTCCCATCCTGTCCTAGTGGCCTCCTCATTGTCCTCATGCCCCGGGGCAGCACTGATGCTGTTTACACTCAGAGCCAAGTGCTGGGTCAGATCCGGCCCAATGCAAGTCTGTGCGTAGTGGCTGACCCCTTTCACCCCCAGACAGCCCCTCACCAGAGGAAGGGGTGCAGGGACTGCATGGGAGGGAGGCCAGAGTCCCTCTGCAGCCCCACACAGGCTGGGGAATGCAGGCTTAAGTGTCCCGTGAAATGCGCCATCACTCCGGTCCATGAGACGCCCCGAGGGCTCGGCCAGCCCGGAGCCCTGCCCCGACCGGGGGGCACTTGTGACAGCAGCCCTGGGCTCGCAGGGCTGCAGGGAAGCCCCGGCAGTCCCCCAGCAGCCGGCGGTGCTACGTGGCGATGAGGGGCACCTCGCCGGCAGCCATGGGGAACGGAGTGCCGTCCCCCGCGTTGAGCACCCGGTACAGCAGCTCCTCCTTCTCCCGGCGAGCCTGATCCAGCAGCTGCGCCTCCTTCTCCAGCGCCCCGCGGGCGGCCTGGAGCTCCTCGGACAGCTGCCTGCGGGCAGAGGGCACAGGCTGCCGGAGCCGTCGGGCCGAGAGCCCGGGAACCCCTCTGCTCCCTGCAAAGCACCCGGTGCCACCACAGGCTGCGGTGTGTTCCCGCACCGCCTCCTGTCCCCCCATCGGAGATGTCACCCGCGCACCGGGTGGGTGGGACCAGCGCTTACCTCGCCATGACCAAGTGGTTCTGGGTGCGAACTTGCAAGTCCTCGTTCTCCTGCTGGAGAGTTTTCACCTTCTCCTCCAGCAGAAGATTCCTCTCCTCCTAGAAGGGGGCATGAGGTGAGGAGGGAGCTGAGAAGCACTTCTGAGCCCCCTGCCTCCCCATTTCAGGTGAAATGCTGCCCTGGTGGCATTGCTTCCCCATCCCCTCCCCACGCCAAGAAAGGAAATGGGCTCCATCCACCTTTGCTCCAGCTCCAGTTTCTGGGCAGAATTTAGGTGGGTAGAGGAGCTGAAAAGAGGAAAACCCATCTGTGACCCCCCTCTTTCAACCTACCACGGTCTCCAGGTGCAGCAGCTTCTTGTCCAGGCCGTGGATGTGCTCGTTCTTCATCTCGATGACGAAGTGCAGGCTCTCCAGCTCCTGCTCCCAGAAGGGGCTGGGGCTCCCGTGCTCCTGCAGGGCCATCACTTGTGTCCAAGGGACCCCAACACCTCCCTGGGACAGGCTTTGCTCCCCCCTTCAGCTCTCCTGTGTTCCCCCCTGGTTCCAGCCCCACCCTGCCAGGGTCCATCAGAGAGGCCCCTTGGCTTTGGGGGCACCCTATAGCAGCACCCCATAGCAGGTCCCATCTCTGACACTCCCCCTGCACCTGGATGTGCTTCTTGTAGTCTGTTCTCAACAGTGACTCCTCCACTCGCTTCATCCTCTCCTGGAAGGATTTCAACTGGGAATTCAGTGCTTGAATTTTCTCCTAGGACAGCCAGGGAAAAAGCAGAATGAGAGGTATCTGGGATTTCTTTCAGAGCCTGGGGACTGCTGGGCTATGGTACACAAATAACACCAGGGCTAGAGGAGCTGGCATGGTCCCTGAGCACACCAGGGACTGAGGTGGCCACTGAAGAACGTGGGGCACCATGGCAGGACCAGCAGATGGTCCTCAAGCCCTCCACAAGTCCCCCCTCCCCAGGGATTTCTCTGCTGGTACCTGTAAGGCTGCCTCAGACCTGTGGTGGGACTCTGTCAGCAGCAGCTTCTCCTGCTCATGTGCTCCCCGAAGCTCTGTGGGAGAACATGAGCTGAGTGCCACCAGGGTGGAGACATTGGGGCAGCAAGCCCCACCTGAGCCCCACAGTGCTGGAGAGCAGGGAACAGCATGATCCCATAGGCAGCCAAAGGGACACTGGCAGTAGCAGGGAGAGGGGAGAGGAGCTGTAGGGAGCCCTACTGCCCTGGCATGCACCTTGCAGGGTTTCTGTGTGCTCTCTCCTCAGGGCATCAAGCTGTTCCTTCAGCTTCAGCTCTTTTCCGTTTTCCACCTGGGAAGCAGTCAGATGAGAAATCCCAGTGTAAGGGATGCAGAGCTTCACTGCTTTGGACTTCCTCACCCTTTCTTAGACCCGTCCTTCTCCCAAAAATGGGAAAGCCCAGCCCAGCATATGCCAGGGAAGACCTGGCTAACCTGGATCTCAATGTCCTGGGAGATGCTCGCAGTGCCTGCCTGGCCGGCATCCCGCAGCCGCTCCTGCTCCTCCTCCTGGCCTTGGAGGAGTCTTGCACTGTCCGTCCGCTCCTCTGGCTGTGCTGCCTTCTCTCCATCCTCAGGAAGCAGGGAGGCATTGGCTGCAATGCAGACACGGCTGAAACAGCACTGGCTGCCTCCTGCTGTCTGGGCTGCCTGCACATCCTGGGCTGCTGAACCTGCCAGTGCCACGGGCCGGGCTCAGCACTGCCCTCTTCCCACTGGAGAAACATCTCCCTCCGTCTCACTGTTCCAAATTAGCACTAATTGGGATGGTGCTGAAAGGCTCAGAGAGGGCACATAACTTGCCAGGTCTCCTGTTCTGGGGATGACCTGAGAGGTCCTCCTGAGAGGAGGGGATGTCATTGTCTCTGGGATGCCCTGTCTGCCCTCCTGCACCAGCATGCGCCTACATCATGCCCATCCTCCCCGGTGCCATGCTGGGGCCTGTCCACTGCTTCCTTCATATCACTCTGAGAAAGCAAAGCAGGGGGAAAATGCCTTTTTTTCTCACCGTTCTCTGTCTTCAAGGCTGAGAGCTCCTGAGAAGTTGATCCTCTCTGCTGCTGGGCTTTTAGCTGTCTCTGGCAGAGAGAGAGGGGGCTGGAGCAGGGAGGAACAGAGTGGGGCAGGTGGCTGCATGCAGAGAACACCCTGCACTGAGCCTGCATCAGGTCTGCTAAAACACAAGTCCCCGGGGAGCAGCACTCCCTCCCCAACCCCCTGCTCTTTCCCAGCCCTGAGTACCCATGGGTGTGCATGTACTGCCCATCAGGCAGTCTCAAGCTCATGCCAATTCCCTGCATCCCAGACAGTTCACCATGTAGCATTCAGCTGGAAAACCTGGGAGATGCTCACAACATCCCGCCGACGTGGTGCTGGTGCAAAATGGGCTCCAGCAACAAAACATTTGGTGGGGGAGAGCAGGCAGCACTTGTCAGGGCTCCAGCTTTGGCACTCCCTTGCCACCCTCCTCCTGTCCTGGGATGCTCAGGTCAGTCTGGTCCCTGGCACCTTACAGCCCCCTAAACACACGCCTCTGCCAGGCCCTTACAGAGATGGGCTTTGACACAGCTGGAGCAGGAGTGAGAAATGAAAAATAACCATAAATCAGAGGCGATAGAGCCCCTGTGCAGGGCTGGCAGCAGGCGAGAGCAGGCGGCGGCCAAGCAATGACCTCAGGAGCGCAGGAATGTGCTGCACAGCCCCGCACTCCCGCACGCTCCCACTGCTGCCACGGCTCTGAGATAACCCAGAGCCGGGAGCTGCCTCCAGCAACACAGCTCCGTGGGATGCCTTCCAGTCCTGCATGGGTTTAATTTAGTCACTTGGAGAAAAAAAAAAAAAGGAGTGGATATATTTTTATCAGTTGCTGAAAGATAGAAGCAAAGCTTGCAGGCTTTCACAGCTTGGCCTCACTGGCGTAGGGCAAATCTGCTCCCCGATGCCCATCACTGGCATAGATTTGCGAGGGGCGAGAAAATTCACCTGAAGACACCTTGCTGCTCTAAAAATGCCGGACCCTAAGGAAAGCCCTGCTGCCTGCGGGGAGCCGGGACCCGCTGTGCCGGCTGCTCCCCCGCTCGGCCCCGCGCACAGTGGTGCGGCCAAATACAGCCCGGATTAGGGAGCCTGGCTTGGGAAAAAAGCAAGGGAAAGCAAACAGACGTCCCTGTCTCCACCTCCCCTGCAGCCCCCCCTTCTGAAGCTGGAGAGAGGAGCAGTTCCAGAGAGCAGGAGAGCTCCAAGCCTCTGGGAAGCCACGGCTTTATCTTCCCTTCTATGGCATGAGCCGCCGCGGCGTTGAACGTGGCCCAGGCGAGGGAGCGAGGAGGCAGCCGGCAGTCAGAGTTCACAGGGATTGTTCTCCTTGTCCATGTAACTCAGCCTGAACACCTGGGGTGCCCTGGGGTGCTGCTGAATCCTGGCACACCTGACTGCAAAGGGTCCCCAGGAATCCCCGCCTGTCCCCTGACACACCTCATGCCAGTGTGCATCTCCCTGGTATTTAACATGTCCTGTGATGGGTTTTGAAGCCAGGGGGTGGGGAGCAAAGGGAGAGATGAAAGAGGCAGTCGAGGCTCTGCAGTCCTGAGGGCATCATAGCAGTCCCTAAAGGCCCCCTCCCCTAGCCCCACACCCCATATCCTCCCCTTTTTTCACCCAACAAGGCAAAGCCTGTGTAGGAGGACCCTCCTGACACAGGGGGGTGACACTCAAGATCTCAAGAGTTTTGGATGACCTCAGCAGAGCTGAGAGCAGGATGGTGTTACCACCTCCAGGAGGGACTCCAAACCCCCAAACCAAACCACCTCTGCTGCATTTGTCCTGCTCAATGGCAAAAGTGATACCTAAGGACAGAGAGTCCAGGGCTGGTCACCTCCACAGCACAGGCAATGTCCCCAGCACAGATCCAGGGTTTCTTCACCTCTCTCCCACACCCTAAATCCAGTGGGATGGGACTTCAGAGCCCCTCAGCCTCTAAAGGAAGATGATTTGAGACGTCTGCACTGAACTCAGAAATAGCTGAAGCAAGCAACAGGTTCACCAGCATCAACAGAAATCTAAATCCTTGTCCTGAGGCTATGAGTGAGGCACCTTACTACCTCTAGGAGCAATTAAAACAGCATCTAGAGCTAATTTTAGTCATAAGCACTCAATTGTCCCTTGGGAGAAAAGCTCCACCTCCAGCAAAATTTGAACAGCAAAATTTGGCCAAAAGCTCTGAAAGATGGAGGGACTTTCCACTGTCACTTCCAGAGAAACTTTGTGGCACCCAAACCTCTGGTATTGCATTTTGGAGAGCTGGAAAATCATCCTGGAATCCACTGTATGTGGAAGGAGCAGGCTGGGAATTGCTCCAGCTGGAACAACTTTGGCCAGGGGAAGAAGCAGCCTGATACATCCTGCAGGTGGGGGCCATCCACAACGTAGCTTATCCTGTAAATTCTTGGAAACGTCTGCCAAAAATACCTTCCAGCTATGAAAAAACCAAAAGTATCTACATCCTTAGAACTAAATATTTCTAATAGTCTGCAGCAGAACTGTTTATGGATGGATTAACAGGGATTTCTATCAGGACCTGAGTCATCTCCAAGGGTGTTGGGGCATGGAGCACCAGTTCAGAGCAAGCTAGCACAGTGTGGGCAGCTGAGGTGGCTGCAGCCGCTGCTTCAGCTCTTAGCGTGAGGTGGGGTTTTGAACTGTATTTTTCTTCCTCTTTTCCTGTTTTACAAGTACATTAAGCAATTCAACCATGCAACCTAGCAAAGGAAATCACAAAGAGGCAGGAAATGAGTATTTAAATCCTGACTGCTCCTGGGGAGTAGGTTTTGCTTTGTGGCTGTGCAGAAGGGGGTCAGGATTTGGTCCATGACTGTAACACCTCCCAGGACCTGCAGCAGATGCTCAGTGCTGCCAGAGCAATGTTGGCACAGGTCCGTGGGACCTGTCTTTAACCCTGCTGCTGTCTTTCCTCCAGTGATGGTTGTGTTAGGAGGTGATTATCACCTCTCCTACAGTCAGATCTGTGCCGCAGACCTTAGGCAAACACTTCACACTGTTGACAGCCCAGAGTTTTGCATTCTGCCCCTTCCCTGACTTCTGGTGCTACGTACAGTTCCTAGCACTTCAAAATAAATTCACCCCAGCCCTGGAAGGCGGCCAAGCCTCAGCCCTGACCTTTTGGGAAAGCAACTTGGCCTCTCTCATGCCAGGAGCGTGACCAAAGCGCGAGCAGTGACTGTGAGTGGCCAAGCATGGGTGGATGGAGCTGAAGGGGAAGGAAACCCCAGGGACAGCGCCCACAGCTCGGGGCAGGGCTCTTTCTGTGCCTCCCTTATCACCCTGCTGCCCGCAGACTGGTGCCAGGGAAGGATGAGGCGCCAAGGCGCCTTCCCCAGGGCACACAGTGGCTCCTGGTATGTCATCCACACACCAGACCCAGCCCAGCACCAGCTCCTCAAGGTCACCTGAAACCTGGGACTGGCCTCAAAAGCCTCTGCAGCCCCCAGCCCCATTAGAGTCCCCAACCCCATGACTTGCACATGGCTTCTGGCTGGGCTTGCCCCTGGGGTTTGAAGTCTCCCCTAACCCCAAGCAACCTCAAGGGACCAACTCTGCAAGTCCACCCATCTGCAGTAGGAGGTGAAGGTCTCCCATCCTGCCTTTAGGCACTATGGACATGAGAATGCGGCCAGGAGTGGACCCATGCCTGCCTTTATGCCTTTTAGTCTTAACGGGGATTTTAGGTACTACTTTCAGAATGACTTTCAGTCACAGCAGCAGGGCTGTTTTATGGGTAATGACTGTTGGTGACACAGAGCTGAGCAGAGGAGCGGGCAAGTGCAGGAAGGGAGGCGTCTGCAGGCAAATGACAAATTTCCGTGTTTCACTACATGTGGGGCTCTCAACACCTGCGGCCTTGGGGCTGTTGCTTCTCCCTGTCCTATGCCTGTTCTTGAGAGCTCTCAGAGGCACAAACCAGCACAGAAATATCTGATCTTATGACATAGCAAAGAGTGGGATTTTTTCCATGATGTGGAGAAGCCACCAAGCCTGCAAGTACTGTAAATAAAGGCACTTGGCTGCAGGGCTGTATGAGCTCCGTGCCTGCTCCCCCTGCACATCCAGCAGAGGGTTCTGTGGTCCCAGGTGGCTGGATTCTCACAGCTGGATCTGCAAAGGGCACCCATGCTGGGACACGGCAGCACCACGGGGCCGTCCTGCCTTCCCTCCTTCCCCTGCCACCCTCCAGTGATCACAACACCCAGCATCAGTAAGCAAAAACATCTTCCGAGGTCAATGGTGCGGCACTGGGGCAGCACGATCACATCAAATAATAACAATAATAATGATAATAACAATCAGCAGATAATTTCAGACCTTGCTGAAGGGCTATCCAGTACAGAGCAACGTGCTGAGATCTGAGGGGACTCGGGAGTGTTCCCCTACAGGAATGATGCCTTCAGCACAAGGGGACACAACCTTTGGGACGAGGGAGGATGCTGTGGGAGGCTGGCAGAGGTCTAGCTAGGGGAACTCATCCCTGTCTTCTATGGGATCAGCATTTCCAACAGGCATCATCATCCCAGATGCTGCACCCCGTTAATTATAAAATTCCCGTGATGTCGAGGTGAGCCCGGAGGGGTGCAGGAGGATGCAGGAGGACGAGTGGCTGCCAGCTTTCATTGTCCCCGCTGCCACCTCCTCCACCACAATGCCGGTGGGGTCCCACATAGCCGGGGACAGCCACATCGCCCGGCCCCACCGCTCCCCGGGGCAGGGAGGAACCCACGCCGGGTGCCCCTAACACCCCTCGTCCCCAGCAATGCAAGCAGCACTCCCCGCAAACATCAGCCCCACGCGAGCCCCAACTCCATCAAATCCCGGCAGCGTGTACACTCGGTCCCACCAGAGCCCGACCCCACGGAGCCCCGACGCCACGCGAACCCCGACCCCGAGCGAAGCCCAGCCCAGCCCAGAAACCTCCGCAGCCGCTACCTCGGCACCGACGGGGCAGCAGCGCAGGGCGCTGCCGGTGCAGCCCATGGAGCCCCGGCGGGACCCGCTCAGCCGCGGGGCGCGGGGAGCGGCATCGCCCGACCAGCGGCACCGCTCAGGGACGGGACGGGACGGGATGAGCCGCCCCAGCTGGCAGGCAGAAAAAAATAATTAAAAAAAAAAGTAATAAAAAAGTCGAGCAGCTGCTGTCAGGCAGCGCCGGGAGAGGGTGCTCTGCACCCCCGAGCCGC